CGAAACAATCTTTCTTCTTAGCCAGTTTATGCAACAATATGCTGTGTGCTAAATGGGCTCTAGTACTATCAATTAATGGGGGTTCAACGATTTTATTTTGAACTAAAATTTGGTGGAGTACTATGAGATTATGTTGGGAATCATCATCATTAGAGCCTTTTCCCAACAATTTGGGTCGGCGGGTCGGCTACACTAATCCTGATCCGCCGTTTTGCTCTATTAAAGGCCATAAGTCCCCATATCTTTTCTCACTACTACCAACCATGTCCTTGCCCTTTTTGAACTTGAACTAACTCAAACCTCCTAGCAGGTGCTGTACGAGATCTGCATTGCACATGGCCAGCCTACCAAAGTCTACTTTCTCTCATCTTATTGCCTATTAGAGCTACAACTAAGTTCTCTCGAATGTATTTATTTCAAAATCTATTTGTTCTTGTCTTGCCACTCCTCATCCCAGCTACACTCATCCTATGTGTATGTCGTTTCTTGACCACCCGACATTCTACCCCATAAAGAAATCTGATCTTCCAACTGCCCTATAGAACTTGCCCTTCAGCTTTATTGGTATGTAGTGATCACATAAAAATTCGATTGCAGATCTCCACTTCACCCACTCAGCTCTAATTCTATGTGCGACATCTTCCTCAATCTCTCCATTTTCCTAGATTATCAACCCAAGATATTGAAAGTGTGCTTTTTTTGGTATTTCTTAGCCGTTAATCTTAACTACTTCCTCGTCTCTACTCCAATTATTACCACTATTGCAAACTGTATTTCGTCCAACTAATTTTAAAACTTTAGATCCTAAAGCATCCCTCCAAAGTTCCAATTTTGTGTAGACACCACTTCGGGTCTCATCAATTAAAACTATGTCATCCGCGAATAATATGCACCATGGTACCTCATCTTGTGGGTGCCTAATTAAGTGGTCCATAACTAAGACAAAGAGGTAGGAGCTCAACGCTAACTCCTGCTGTAGACCTATTGTCATTGAAAACTCACTCGTCTCTCCACTAGTGCGCATACTAGTTAGCGCTCCCTCGTACATATCGCTCACCAAGTCGATGTATTTGGAGAGTCATTTCTTTTCCAACACCTTCCAAATTAAGTCTCGGGATAATCTATCATAAGCTTTCTCTAAATCAATAAAGACCATGTGAAGGTCTTTTCCTTTCGCCCTAGACTTCTCAATTAGTTGCCTAAGTAGGAAAATAAACTCAATTGTAGACCTGCCTAGCATAAAACCAAATTGGTTTTCTTATGCACTCGTTTCAGCCTTAGTCATTGTTCAATCACTCTCTCCTATAGCTTCATAGTGTGGCTTATAAACTTGATCCTTGGATAGTTCGCACAATTCTGTATGTCTCCTTTGTTTATGTAAATATGTACCACAATACTTTTCCTCCATTCATCTGGTATTTTCTTTGTTATCAACACCTTGTTAAACAACTTGGTCAGCCAATCAATGCCGATCTCCCCCATGCACTTCCAAACCTCTATCGAGATACTATTTCGTCCTAAAGCCTTTCATATCTTCATCTTCTTCAAAGCTTCTTTCACTTCCAATATCATAATCCTACAGATGTATTTATGACCTCAGCCCTCATTTATGCCAACAATTCTTTCTACCACTGTGTTCCCATTGTGTTTGTCATTTAATAATTTTTGAAAATAAACTCTCCACCTTTCGTTATCCTCTTTATCCTTCACCAAGACCCTTTTATCCTCACTTGCATTTAATATGGTCTAGATCCTTACACTTTTTCTCTCTCATTTTTGCTAATTTGAAGATATCTTTTTCACCTTTTCTTATTCCCAATTTACTATATAGATTATCATATGCCTTAAGTTTAGCCTTACTATTTTTTTAGCATTTTTCTTAGAATTTTTATATTCTTATAAGTTTCGATCATTTCGATTGCATTGCTAAGTATTATAACATTGATTGTTTTTCGCTAATGGCTTGTCGAACCTCGTCACTCAACCACCAAGTTTCCTTATCGGAATTTCTTATCTGGTTTCTCCTGAAACTACTTTTGTCTTCAATTAAAATTAAACATTTTTTGACACTTATAAGGAGGCCATTTTGGATCAAACTTCATCTGCTGCCAGATTGCATAGTGTTCTGCGGTGAACCTTACAAAACATGGGTGGATTATTAGAAACCTGCTGGCAGCGAACTTACCTCTCGTGGTGAAGTTGCACTTTTGATGATTTCAGCTTTAATTACAGTTCGCTCTATAATGATCTTGGGACCCTAGAGAATGTTTCCAAGGCCTTCTTTGATCAAATTTTCACAAGCATAAGCCCTAAATAGATGCAAGGCCCAATATAAGGAAATTTGCCTCTTTGAACTCCAAATCAGATCTCTCCAAAACATAGAACGATTCTAGAAATCACAGTAATGATATTAGCAATTGTTTTCTTGATAGAAATTTGCAATATAGGCAAGAAAATCAAAGACTGGATAAAAAATTGACAATTTCCTAAAGTTCAAATACCTTTTGGGAAGTAACTTGATTTGAGGATATCTTAAGATTTATGGCATGTTTTTGGGTGCAACCAATGCCACTTAGATCAATCTTTTGATGGGTAATCAAGTTGGGTCCATGATAGAGGCTCTAAACTTGCCAAGGGGTCATATTTGTCACACATAATATGGGTCATGGATGTCGATTCATGCATGCGTCCCCAAAATCATCTCCTGGCAAGGGATTTAATTTTTCCTGTAATGCAAGCTTTACTTGGATACTCTAATGCTGACTGGCAAACTACAGACTATTGCACATTGTTGGAAGAAATTTGGTGACATGGAAGAGTAAAAAACAATATGTTGTTGCTGGATCCAGTGAAGAAGCTGAGTATCATGCCATGGCTTCTGCAACATGTGAGCTTATCTAGTTAAGAGCACTTCTCTCTGATATGAGAATTTATCTTGTCTCACCAATTCTGCTTTATTGTGATAAGCAGGCAGCAGTACAAATTGCGTAGGACCAATTCTTCATGAGCGCACCAAACATACTGAGGTCAATTGTCACTTTGTTTGTCAAAAGCTTCGCCGATAAGCTCATATTTACTCCATATATAAAGACACAAGATCAGCTAGCTGATATCTTTACCAAAGAGATACGCATTCCACGTTGGGCACGCATGACATCCATGCATCAACTCGACGGGAAGTGTACAAGGTACTGTTGTACATAGTTGGTGGGGTGTACTCTGTATTGTAGCGCTGAGAATGTCACGGTAGTCCTAGGATACATGTAATTAGGTAAATGGACAGAGGGCAAACATGCAATCATATCTCATATATATTCTAATGAAGCCCAATTAGACTGTGACTTGGTCTGTTTTTCATTTTTGACAGTCTTACTTTTCTCCGGACGGTAAAATCCTAGAGTGTCAAATCTGCCAAGGTTTTACAGGAATACTTGATGATCTGATCTCCAAAACATAGATGAAACCTCAGAGAGAACGAAGCCACCGCCTTAGCCACCTAGCTCTTTTGTTTTTAGCCAGTTTACAAGATAAACCAAGGGGCAGCCTCTATCATAAGGATACAAAACAGTAACGACACTGACTCAATTAAATCCTCAAACAGAATGCTCACCACTCCTCCAGAACTGAGCTCGATCATCAAAGTGTGGGGCTCTCTAAGCTCTGACATAGGGCCCAACTTCCTTCAATCATTTGGTTTCTGTCAGGAATGTATGGCGTCAGTAGAGGACATGCATAATCAATGGCTCCTTCCCCCAACCAGCCCACCTCACCACCCCTGGCACCCCCAAAAACAAAATTAACAAAATAAAGAAAGTGTGAACCAGATGCATTGGAAATATATGAGATTTAAGATCATCCGTCTCAGTAGTCTCCACTATATGTCGATCTTCCTCTGAATCAACACACATTTTATAATTTGGAAAATATCATTAAAAGGTTTAAATTATCTTACAAAAATATCAAAGGGCTCAAAAGATCCCATTTATTACTTCAGGGTTTACTTTTTAAGTTTCATTTCATAAAGATACCTCAAGAAATTTGCTAAAAAATCTCAAATTATTTATGTTCAGAGTTGAGAATCCTAAACAACATGGGGTATTTGGCAATTTGGACCACTAAAATGGCTCAAGCAAATTACAAAAAATACCCTCATTCAGGGTCAGGAAAATAGGACTGCCAAATGACCAAAATACCCTTGGTTTTTTAGGGTTAGCAAGACAATTAGTTTTTTCATCTTTTGAAAGTTCTACGTTCCTAACCCTATACAAGTAAGGGTATTTCAAACGCTCAAGCCACTTAAGTGTGCCAAATACCAAAATAACTCTGGTTGTTCAGGCTTCCTGAATAGGGGTAATTTGAGAATATTGAACACCTTTTTAAAAGAGGGAACTCTATGAAATGAAAGTTAAAAAGTAAGACCTATAGTAGTATATGTGATATTTTGAGGCCTTCATTGATTTTGTAAGATAATTTTGAGACCTTTAATGATATTTACCCTTTGCAATTTTGTAGGTAGTGGATGCAGATACAATTTGCAAATTACAACTCATATAAATCAATGAACTCAAGTTCAACCATCCAACTGATCATGAAAAGTTTTCCTTTAAGTGATGTAAAAAGCAGAACTAACTAGTCTAGAAACATTTGTCTAGGTATAGAAAAATTGCTATCTATATATGTTGTAAACACGTGTAAGAAGTATTGTAGAGACAAGCCCCAAGTCATATGCTATGATTTTCAAAGCAATCCTTAAAAGCAACATATGCTCACTTGCATTTATTCATCTAATTATCAAATAATAACCATAGAAAGTGACATAAACAGTGTAGGAAAACATGATATAAACAGCAACAAAAGACAGCAATTATACACATAATTTGGATTGTAACTTCATAACTACAAAACGTCCAAGCACAAAGTAAAGGTGGCTTACATTGCATATAATGAGGAACAAGGATACTCTAGATTTACACTAAAGCGAGGCACTCTACATTACCTACCTAGAGAGCGGAATCGAAGGCCCAATTAGATCTATGTGTATTTGGATATTAGGAAACAACGCTCGCAACTCCCCAAAGACAGAAATTTGGCTTAGCTCCTTCTCTGGACCTATATAATAGAGATACCCCATGAAACATCTGAGAAAAAATAAGGGAATAAAGGAAGACACAAATTCAAAGCAACCATTAGAACAGGCATCTAGCTTACCATAACTGCAACAATTGCTTTACCTGAAATTAAAAAATGGAAATCTAGTTCATACATTGCAAGGCCATACGGCACAAGTCAAAAATAATAACAGCATTGAAGACATCCATTAGAATGTGTACATTCTACAACAAATTTTGATAAGCAGGACATAGCTCAGAACTTGATAGTAGCAAAACCCAGTTGACTTGAATGACTCAATGACATGTCCATTTTATTCTTTTTTCTTGAAAGTCTACGAGATATAAAAAATAAATAGAAACATATAATAATATTATTCATACTATTTCATATAACATAGCATATACTTGTACATGTAAATAATTTTTTGCTACATCAGCGGAGGTTTAGGAGGGAACCCCACCTGCTGAATACATTTGCATGAAGATATACGATAACGGGGAATTAATCCATGTGTAACATCATATTTACAAAATGCCTCGTTACAAGCTCCCCTCTATCCCTCTATATAAATAGTGATCGCACTACATCCACTCTATCTCATCTAGACCGATGAGGGATTAATGTCCCCATCTTTCATATATGACTTTTCTCTTGCATTCTTTGAGGGTGTTGTCTTTTCTTCCTGGATGCCATTTTAAATTTCCATGTCATCTCCCTTTAAATCACTTGAACCATACATGATGGTCTTCCTTTGCCCACCAATTTCTGTCTTGCCAAATGACCCAAATTAGAGCGGGAGAGAGGCATTTCAAGCTTTTTCTTTTGGAATCAATCTCTTAGGAGGGTTTGGATCTTTAAGCTGACTAGGGCTCCGGTGTTGAATCTCCACATGATGACTTTCCCAATCTCACCGACAATGGAACAAGTAATGAAGGGTTGATCATGATCTTGAATCTCAGCTTTACATAGGAGGCATCTATTACAACCAAGGTAATCCCAGTTTTGCACTCTACAGGTAGTTGGTAGCCTCTCAATAAGTTACCGAAGTAAATCATGGGTGCATTGGTTTTTCCATATAGCTTCAAGTACTCTATCCTTATCACATGTTCTGTGGTAATTTCGTGGACACTTTTTGAGGTAGTTTCTGTTAGTTTATGGAACCCAGACGAAGGTATAAGGCTTAAAACTTTCTCACAAAATGGACTACACAACTTCAATGTACAATGCAATTACATGACATAAGGCAACTTTGCACTCAATTCCAGCCACTTAAAAATCAATTACAGCAACATTTATTACATCCACACACCCTTAAAACCAAGGATCACAACTCGATTAGGCCCCCTTTACAAAGTCCAACTAATCTATGCATAGAGATTGAGCATACACCCCTTAAAAACTAAGTGGTACAAAATCCTGTGTGGCAATGTAGGATTCCAGATGATAAATTCAAATTTCTTTCTTTTCTTTATTAATTGCTGGATACAAGGACCACAATACAATGCAGAAATAAACCTACTACAATCTAAGAATGGTGAGATTGGATCTCCTTGGCAGAGACTATGACTCACAAAGAAATGCCTGTTGGCAGGGCCATCAGTGAGAATAGAGAAAGAGGTAGAAGATACGCATGCAAACACCCATTTCTTTCATTTTGAGCTAAAACCTATTTTGAGGAGAATTTGGACTAAGATGGACCAATCAACATGGTCATAGTTTTCTCCTAAATCCAGCTGAAGGATCAGACCAGGGGTTGTGAGCAACTAGGCTCCCATCAAGGATTTGACAGCTGTGTACAAAACCATTCTGATTGGGGGAAATAACCTCACCCAGGCCCAACTTGAGTCTGGTAGCTAAGACCTTCGATAGGAATTTGTAAGAGGAATTAAGGAGACCGATAGGTCTGAAATCTTTGATGTCACTAGTAATATCATTGTGGCAATTATAGCAACAAAAGTGGCATTCATTTCCTTACAAACAATCCCATGTGATAGAATTCAATTAAAGAAGGCTAGGATATCATGAGATAGGGTGTCTCAAAATCTAAAAGCGATAAACACAGGGAAACCGTCTGGACCCGAGACTTTGTCTTTACCAAGGTCAGAAATGGCTTGGGAGATTCAATCCAGTTCAAAGGCATATTTGAGTCTACAGGCCGTACCTTGGGCAATAGACAAAAATATAAAGTAGACATAAATGGTCTAGGGTAAATGAGCCAAGTAAAGGTTCTAGAAAAAGGAGACAGTGGCCTTACCAATAACAGGGGGATCCTCGAAGGAAATAGTTCCCACAAGAATGTGGGTGATGGCATTTGCCCCGCACCTTGCACCAGCAATCTTATCGAAGAAGCGTGTTCCTGTCACCCAAGGCAAGTTATTTAATCCTAGATCTTTAGAACTAGAAGAGTTCATCTTTCTTGAGGTATTCCAAATAGTTGGCCATGGTTTCGAACCTTCTAGAGGATTCAGAGGGAGTATAGTTTCCCAGATTCTTCGAGGGTTTCAAGGTCTTTCAATTTTGTTAGCAACACATTCTTGATAATAGAGAAGTTACTAGGAATCAGTGTTTTAAAACACGGATCAGCTAGGCGAACTGGTCAATCTAGGAAACCCTTCTAGATCAGTTTTTTTTGTGTGAGAATCAGTATATAAAATAATAAAAATAGTTGACAAATAAAAAGAAAGAAAAAATAATAAAAAATGCAATATGTGGGAATTAGGCAGTCCAGACAGGCTGGATCGTCCAGTTTCCTAAGGAACCAGCGATCCCCGCCAAGTCAGAACACTTCGCGATACTTATCAGGAACCAGTTCGTCCTGGAACGAATCCCAATATGTTTCGGTGGGTTTTGAATCACTGCCAGTAATATTCCGAGCCCACTACTTAATAATGCCCTTGAGGAGACGCAATTTCTTTTGGATCCTGAAATTGGTCCACCCTTAAATGAAAAAGGTGGCCCACCAGGACCTGAAAAGGTTGTTTCAATTTGGCTCTTTGAATCTCGAAAGTTTGAAATGGAAGGGTTTGTGTAAACAAAGTTGCTAGGGTGTCCAAAAGAATAGGTTCATGGTCTGCAGTGGGTTTAGGGAGAGTAGAGGAGTGAGAGTCAGGGAACTACGCTTCCCACTCTGAACATAGTAGAAACCAATCTAGCTTGGTCGTGTTAGGGTCTAAGAAATGACCAGTCCAAGTATAGGATGAACCCTTGAGTGGGAATTTTATGAGGTTATGGCCCTAAATGAAGTTGGCGAAAAGTTAACCATTCCTCAAAAAAAAATAAAAAAATGTTGTTGGAGAAGCCTGTCATGCTAGCATTCATTCTAGTTGAGCGATTGGTGTCGTCAGTCCATCTGATGGTTCTAAAGTGACCACCGATATCCCATGGGATGGGGGCAAGGGAGGCAATAGAATTGTGTTCAGACCAGAGAACTTCTCTTAAGACTGGATCTGTTAGGGTCATACAGAGCGGTGAATTCCGTCAAAGGCCATCAGAAGTCTTGGATAGGAAGAGATGGAAACCGAGTAGGTTCCTGCCTAGTTAAGCAAAAGAGTGGAGAGTAAGATCTCATAACACTCAAATACCACCTGAAGCTCCTAAAGCATCCAACACATTTTCGAACAAAAATATTGTCCATAACAAAACTTAGTATTTTAATAGAAAAACTTCCAAGTACTCATATAGTATAAATATGATAGAAGATGAGCATTAAAAACTGCAGTATAGAAGTAACACAAATGCATACCTAAGTAGTGAATACGCAACTTGTCATCCATTCGAGAAACTGCTCTTCCCATGCCAAGAAGTTGAATTCCATAGAACATGCTAAGGGGCTGCAACATGGAATTGTCAAGAATGTGTCACAATTATACACCAACAAAAGGAAATACACAGAGACCGGCCATCATCAACATCATCGCCATCATCATAATAAAGGTGATAACAACAACAACAATGATGATGATGATGCTAATAATATAACTGGATAATGCTCGACCACAAGTATTAGATAAAGATCAGCCAGCGCAGTTCACCATGCCCCTGCCAAACTTCGAATTCTCCATACTTCGAATTCTCCATACTTGTCAACTTGATAACATGCTCATTTTCCTAAATGTGGGAGAACCCAGAACGAAACCAAGGTGGATATGTTCATGCAATAGATTTCTAAAAGTTATTTTATATTCATTGGTAACATAACATTTATTAGTTATAATAAGAATACAAACAGGAAGTGCCTATACGACATCAGTAGTGGGTGCTATTTAAATCATGTATTTGTTGTTCTAAATAATGAACAAGCAATTGAGCATCAAACATCTGGTTCATGGACTAATAAGCTTATATAAATCATCAGAAAAGGAATTACATGTATGTAGACATGATATGCATATGGAACAACTTAATCAATCACAGGCTACTATAAGTAAATATACATTCCATCCACTCGTCTAGTTGGAGTGAACATCCACCATATCTTGTGGGATTATTCTTTGCAAATAATAAAAAATTAGATGTATGAGAGCCACTTGAGATAAGTAGGATGAGGCCTCATGAATAAAATAAACAAGTATTAAATCAAGGGCAAATTTCAAAAAACCCCCAAAAGGAGACTTTCCAGACAACCTTCCCCCAACCAAAGTTTTTTAGCAACTTTTACTGCAAATTGAACGCTTCTAGCAAAAACACCCCAAGTCAAAAAGTTATATGTTTTTGACGAAAATAGCCATAGTGCAAGACCGCCCCCATTTTGTGCCAGACTGCATGCCTAAAGTGCTAGACCGCCCCTAATTTGTGTCGGACCACATGCTTTCCAAAAGCCCAAAGTGCCGGACCACCCCCATTTTGTGCCGAATCGCATGCTCGAAGTGCCGGACCACCCCTATTTTGTGTTGGACCGCATGCTCTCCAGAAGCCAAAGTGCGGGACCGCCCCCATTTTGTGCTAGTCCGCATGCTTTCTAGATTGTATTTTGGTTTTCTATTTACCTTTTTTATGACTTGGGGAGTATTTGCTAGGAAAGTTAAATTTGGGGTAAAAATTGCTAAAAAAAACTTGGTCAGGGGGAAGTTGTCAAGAAAGTATGATTTTGGGGGGTTTTGTAATTTTTACTTAAATCAATCATAGTTAAGGGGAACCGTGTGAGCAGGGTGATGATCCCACCTTGGAACCTCGATCCCACAGTTCATGTAAGGGATCTTGTAGGGATTGTGATTATTCGATTTTGGGACCTCACTCACAAAAAAAAGGGGACCGCGTTCAATCCAATAGTGGAATCCAGTTCCATTTTAAAATAGATCCACGCTCCCATCAGCCATGGTCTAAGGTTTTGGTACATTAAAATCTTGGGTTTCATGTTTGTGGAAACCACTCTCATTAAAATCTTGGATTTCATGTTTGTGGGAAATACTTTTTTTACACGAATGATACCAGGCCGGTGATTGCCATTGTCCCAAGTTCCCATTATTTAGGAATCATAAGTTCCATGATGGTAGAATCCGGACCCTTGTTTCGCATGGCACGAAGTTCCATAATTTTAGATTCTTAGTTTGAACTTTGGAGGAATAGTCTACACCCATTGTTTTATGAAGTCCTATTGTTTAGATTCTTAAATTTCCGTAGGATCCATAGAGATTCATTGATGATTTCTTCTATTTCACAAAAGTAAGTCATCCCTATTAGTTGTGACAATACATATTTTATTTAAAATCTTATATTTATGATGTTCTATTGTTTTAGATTCTTCAATCATAAATATCCTATTGTTTTAGATTCTTAAATCACAATGATGAATCCATTCTTTGATGTTTTCTTCTATTTCGAGTAAGCCATCCCTCTTAGTTGTGAGAATATGTACTTTATCTTTAGTAGCTTTCATTTCAAGCTATATATTTACAAGAAGCTTGGGGACTCCAAAGCCACGCTATGCGCGAGCTCAAAAGCCCTCATAATCATGAGAATATATATTTCATCTTCTCTCTCTCTCTTTATGAGACCCATAAACCCCTCCTAGGCACGGTTTCCCTCTAAAAAATATGAACAAAAAAAAACACATTCTTAACACATAACAAAGCCAACAAGTTCATACAGACATACTGATTTTCACATCACCCTGAAAAATATTCAAGGTGTAGCACAAAACAATATACATTTATTGAGAGAGGGAGAGATTTAGAGAGAGGAGATAGGGATAGATAAGAGAGATTGTAAGTATCTAAGAGAAAGAGAGAGAGAGAGTCCCTGTCCACACAAGCCACAAAAACGATGCAGCAGACCATTACCCACAAGAGTTGGAGGTCTTTGCTTCGATTAGACAGATTCTCCAATCCGATCCACCGATCCAACCCGGGTATGGGTGAGATTGATTCGGGTCACAAATCTGTTTTTATAAACATTGGCTCTCACCAAGAAGAGGAAGAGGCAGTTAGGTCATATGGAAGGCAAAGAAGCAAAAAACTTTGTTACCACCGGATACCTCATTATTCCTCATGAAACCCCAGTCCACGGAAAAGGGAAGAATTTCTCATATGTTTGGTGCTCAAGCGAGGTAAGAAGTTGATGCTGCAGTAGCACGCTTCTTCTATGCGCACAACATCCCATTCAATGCCGCCAATGGCCATAGATTCCATGAAATGGTATATGCTATTAATTATGGGCCAAATGGGTACGTGCCTCCTAAATATGATAAGATTAGGACATCTTTGTTGGATAAGGAGAGAAGCAGAATCGAGAGGGCACTATCTCCCCTACGGACTTATGGAGTTTCAATTGTATCAGATGGATGGAACAATGTAAAAAATGAGTCTTTGATCAATGTTTTAACAGTTTCGAGGGGAGCGCAATGGACATGATTGCTCTTCCATCAAGAAGGCTAGTCAAAACATCGCGCGATAGACTCCATTGGACGCGACAATGTAGAATAATGCTGCAAATTGTAAGGGTGCAAGGACAATAGTCCAATGCCGCCACCCCACATTTTTTGGTCAAGATGCTTAGCACACACTCTGAGCCTCCTCATGAAAGACATTGTTGATAAAGATAAGAAGAACCCAGCTTTTAGTTTTGTGTGGAGTCCCTACCATGATGCCAAGAAAGTGGTAAAATACATTCGAAATCACACCAAGCGTCTCTATATATTTAGGACTTTTTCAAATCTTGCAATCCTCAAGGTTAAGAAGACAAGATTTGGGTTTCATTATGTAATGTTAAGGCGTCTCATGGAAGTGAGGGATCCTTTGACATCCTTGGTTTTAAGCAAAGAGTGGGAGGGTCTTAGATAGGCTGTAGGAGATACAGACCGAGGTATGCATTATAGGATGATAATTTTTCATCAACAAACAAAAGAATATTGCAATTTACTAGGCCAATATGGAAGAAGAAGGAAGTTTGCTGACACTGACAGTGTTGTGATAGGAGATGCATAGGAGCACATGGAAACAATGCTAAGCGAAATTGCAGTGGCCATCTATTGTGATCTTGTTTTGTACCAAGAAGTGCATAAGCTAGTTGTTGATTGATGCCATTGCATTGTTTGGCACATGTTTCAAGTCCTAAGTATCACTCTTGAAAATAGTTAACTATGCCAACTCCTAGTGGGAAGAAGAGGCTAAAGTCACACCACGATAAAGAAGAATCAACGTCTTATCTTGCTGCGCTTGAAAGGTTGTACTCAGGTGAGAATGAGAGGGGCATAATACGACAACAGATCAATGATTTTGTAAGTAGTAAAGGAGTTTTCTCACAACTAGCATCCATTTTTTACAGCGTAACAATGTAAGTTGTTTCGTGGTGGGATCTATATGGTGGTGGGTTCCTGAATTATATTCACTAGCTGTTAAGGTGTTGTCTCAGAGTGTCAACTCGTCATGTCCTGAGGGTGTTGTGCTGGAGTACGTATAGTTAAATGCTAAACGCTCCAAGTCATTGGTTTATGTACACTACAATGACAGGTTGTTAAGTAGATTGCAATCAAACTATGGAGCGAAGTATAAAGAATGGGATTTTCATCTTGATGATGACCGTCTCGAGGATGATGTTGGGGCACTAGAAGAATTAGGCAACCACCTTGATGTTGATGGTGAGGCCCGTCAGAAGGCTCCATTACCAAGGCATATCCCTCCCACTAACAATTCAAGCCATGACACAAGTTTGGCATGCATCATTCCCTCTTAGTCCCAAACAACCTAGAATTCTACCACTCAAGGGTAATCTATTTCGAATGTAGGCTCCTCCTTCAATTGTTACTCAAAGGCAGATTCTTCGAAGGGGCAAGAGGACAAGATAAACTAATCTCTCTCTCTCTCTCTCTCTCTCTCTCTCTCTCTCTCTCTCTTTGGTGTAAATCAAGAAGCTTCTTGTAAATTTATAATTTGATACGGAAGCTACTTAAAATGAAATATATATTCTCACAACTAAGAGGGATGGCTTACTCGAAATATAAGAAAACATCAAAGAATCACTATGGACTAATCATTGTTTTTTGAAATGTCTCTATGGACTCATCATTGTGCTTTAAGAATATAAAACAATAGGACATTTATGATTTGACAATTTAAAACAATAGGTTATCATAAATATACAAATTTAAAAATCTATGAAAATTTAAGAATCTAAAACAATAGGATTTCATAAAACATTGGGTCTAGACTATGCCTTCAAAGTTCAAACTAAGAATCTCAAATAACGGAACTTCGTTTTATGCAAAACAAGGGCCTAGATTCTACCATCATGGAACTTATGATTCCTAAATAATGGGAACTTGGTTGGGACAATGGCAATCACTAACCTGGTATCATTCGTTAATGAAAGTAGTTCCCACAAACATCGAACACAG